AACGCTCCTGAAAATTGCTTTCTGCTTTCCTGTGGATGGGGCTTTGCGTGGAGTGGGAAGTTAAGAACATGAACTTTGGGGCCATCTGGTTCTGATCCGTGTTCCACTGCTTCCCAGATATGTGACCTTGGCAAGTCACTTTAGTTCTTTGCTTCATATTTCCTTATCTACGAAATAGGGACAACAAACCTATCCACCTCAAAGTCATAATAAAAAGTGAATCACTACATGTAAAGTGCTGAGAATAGCCCTGGCACATAGCAAGTGCCGTGTAAATATTTGCTATTGTTTTTTTAGCTAGTTTTTTACTTAACAAGTCGCTCTGTGTATTGGAATAAAAATCTAGTTTTTTTTTTTTTTTTTAACATTTTATTTCTGAGAGAGAGAGAGACAGCCTGAGAAGGGGAGGGTCAGAGAGAGGGAGTACGGAATCTGAAACAGGCTCCAGGCTCTGAGCCGGCTGTCAGCACAGAGCCCGATGTGGGGCTCGAACCCACGAACTGCAAGATCATGACCTGAGCCAAAGTCAGACTCGTAACCGACTGAGCCACCCAGGTGCCCCTATTTTTTATTTATTTTTAAGACAGAGCATGTGTGGGGGAGGGGCAGAGAGACGAAGACAGAATCCAAGGCAGCCTCTGGATTCTGCTGACAGTGCAGAGCCTGACTCGGGGCTTGAACCCACAAACCATGAGATCATTACCTGAGCCAAAGTCAGAGGTTTAACCAACTGAGCCACCCAGGCGCCCCTGTAGGACTCACCTTTAAAGGCTTGTGGATACACAGGTACATATTTCCAAGTTGTATCTTCACAGAGAGGACGGGTGTGACCCCCTGGCTGTGAAGGCACTGCTCTCTGGAACTGTGTCAGAAAGGATGTGCTTTGGGGCGCCTGGGTGGCTTAGTCGGTTAAGCGTCCGACTTTCGCTTAGGTCATGATCTCGCGGTTCACGGGTTCGAGCCCCATGTCGGGCTCTGTGCTGACTGCCAGCTCAGAGCCTGGAGCCTGTTCCGGAGTCTGTGACTCCCTCTCTCTCTGACCCTCCCCTGCTCACACTGACTCTCTCTCTCCTAGAAATAAATAAAACATAAAAAAAAAAAAAGAAAAGAAAGGATGTGCTTTGCTGTGCAACTTCATCTAGTCACCTGGACACAAACAGAAGTGGGAGAGCAGTGGAGACCATCGGCTTTATTGTTAAACTTGAATGTGAGACCCACACAACTGTCCTGCAAAGCTTCCTCAGAGGCCAAAATGCATGTCAATAGCCAGGAATTCCAAATCAGCCTCACTGTCACCACCTTGGCTTCTCTTTTATAGTCAAATTCAAAGGAGTTGATCTATTCCTTTTTGTTTCTGTCCTAATTTTCCCTATGTTTCAGTTTTTTATTTTCATTAAAAAAAATTTTTTTACGCGTATTTATTTTTGAGAGCAAGAGAGAGCATGCGTGAGCAGGGGCAGAGAGAGGGAGGGAGAGAATCCCAAGCAGGATCCCCACTGTCCGCGTGAAGCCCGATGCGGGGCTCAAACTCACAAAACTGTGAGATCACGAACTGAGCCGAAACTAAGAGTCACTTAACTGACTGAACCACCCAGGTGCACCCTGTTGTGTGGTTTTTTTTTGTTTTTTTTGTTTTTTAAATGTTTTATTTATTTCTGAGAGAGAGACAGCCTGAGAAGGGGAGGGCCAGAGAGACAGTGAGACACAGAATCCGAAACAGGCTCCAGGCCCTGAGCTAGCTGTCAGCACAGAGCCCGATGCGGGGCTCAAACCCACGAACCGTGAGATCATGACCTGAGCCGAAGTCGGACGCTCAACCAACTGAACCACCCAGACGCCCCCACCCTGTTGTGTTTTAACTGGAAATAAAATTCACAGAAAAATCTGCACCTGGTAAAAAATGGTTCCGAATGAAAACTACATCCTCCCTCCTTCCCCAGACCCTAGTCTTCCTCCCCAGGTCACCCGATGGTCCGAGTTGTGGGTATGTGTTCTTCTAGAAATAGTCTGTGCACACATATAGCTGTGCCTTTACTGTTTTTTTAGGAATAAGAGTGTCCTATTGCACTGTTCTGTGCTTTTTCATGTAACAGTACAAAGGTTTTCATTTTTTCCACCTTCCGAAGGGTATTTGGCATTTATACATCAGTGGTGACAGGGCTGGTGACTATATGATTGAACAGGCCGTTTCTCCTGATGTTTAGAGGGCCGTTATTTTCCAGCCAGCTGCCAATCCTCTCTGATAAAGTTCTGCAAAAGTTAGATAAACCATCACCTCTGCCTCCTACCCATCACTGAATGCAGACCAAAGCTGGAGCAGAGCATGGTGGGCCATGGCATTTTAAGATAGATTGTGGTGGCTTGGCTGACGAGCTGTGGGTCACTGAAGGGAGGCAGTGTCTGTTCTGGGCCCCAGTTTCCTCTTTTTTAAAATGCAGATTTATAGGATCTCAGGCAAGTGTTACAAGGTCAACGCCTTGTCTCTTTCCCCACTGTATCCCCCGCTTCTAGAAGGCCCCAGGAACACGGAGAGCCGATGAACACCTGCATCCTTCCAGCTCCAATGCTTCTCTGTGTCATCTCCACCAGCCGCGGAGTCTTCGGCAAGTCCTTCACCTGGACTCTGCCAGGATAGTGGCGCCTACCCTCGCGGAGTTCACGGTCACTGACAGATCCAGGAGAGGAGGCCTCCTCAGTCCATTCTGCTCTTCCACAGCAGCAAGCTGGCTAGTTTATGTATCTTCATTGTTTGTTTGCTGAGTGGCCCATTCTGATGCCAGAGGAGGCGCCTGGTTGGTGTCGCCCTGCAGCCGTCAGACCTCAATACCAAACCCTCGAGGGCCAAGGACAGCTGCTAATTATGTATAAAGATGGTGCTAAGTGCTTACACGTATCATTTCATTTAATCCCCACACTCTCAGGAGTGGGTACATGTTTTCATCTCAGAGAGGTTAGGTCAGTTGGGCAAGATCACACAGCTCAACAGCAGAACTGCAAAACCCCCCGTGTCACTCCTGTGCCGTGGGAAGGGAGCCTTTGCGAGAGGCTGGATTCACTTCTCCTTTGGGCTTTACGTGCAAGTTATAGTGCCTGACCAGGGGCCAGTCCCTTTTCTGGTCTGCAGTTTCCCCACTTGAACAGGGAAGATAGCATCTCTAAGACTCTCCGAGCTCTTTGTGTTTGAATTCTGGTGCGTTTGAGTTATTTTGATGTCAGGAGACCCGTCCGTGGCGTATTGAAAGGGTTTTAACTGAAGGGCATCTCTTGAAGGGACGAGTTACTGAGATGTGGGGACCCAGTATAGCATAGTGAGGGCTCAGGGAGTAGGAACACACAAAGCCATTACTGCCACACAGCCTGGAGAGTCCAGGAGAGGCAGTGTAGTTAATGGAGCTCAGCCGAAGCTGGAGCAGCGGGAGAGAAATGGCTGGGGGCTGTGACCCTCAGGAGAGAGGCCACCGCTGTCAGAATCCAGAGGGGGCCCCTGGCCATGCCACTCAGCTCGGCGTGTCTGCTCCGCACCGCACACCTAGGAATGGCGGCTGGGCGTTTGGCCATCCGGGGGAGGGGTGCAAAGCTCACTCCCAGGGCTCAGAGCAGGCTGGCGTGTTTAGGAGCCAAGCGGAGAATAACCGACTCAGGGATTTTGCTGGACTCAACGGCCTGACCTGTGAGGGAGGGGTGCAGCTACAGTGGCAGGCACCTGCTGAATGGGGCTGGAGTAGTAAGAACCCCCTCCTCCCCGCTGCCCACCATAGGACTGAGAAAGCAGCAGACACCCCACGTCCCAGGCTTTTCTTTTCAGAACAGGCCAAGAAGCAAGCAGGCTCAGTCCTCTGATTCAGGTGGGTAGTTCTGATGTTTCTGAGTCACATTCAACGTTTCCTGGGATCCTTTTTCTTCCTGATGCATTTGGTGGAATGACTACTGCATCCAGAAATTCCCTAGAAATAAATGTCCGTGCTCATTGAGAATTCATCTTAGGCTCTTCATTCTAGGGAGAAAAGGATTCTGGGCCAAACACTCAAGCGAGAGGGGTCAGTAGAGAAGAGAAATAACGACCGTCTTGGGTCGGGTCAGGGGCACGATTTGGGATTGTTAGCCCAGGAGGACTTGGTGAGTGGTTTCTGGGAGCTGTCACTTTCTGGTACAGACCCTGTTTGCCTGCCTTTGGTGTCTCTTATTATACTGGGACCCAGGCATTGCTTCAAGGTCCACCTGGAAGCAATCCCCAGCGCTGCGGGCTCCCCCCACCCCCTCAGCCCCACGTGTCGGCTGCCCGGCTCATCACTACCAGCTGGGCGGCTGGACGGTGAGTGTTGTGCCCATTCCAACGTGGTTGTTTCCAGACATGTAGAGGGCACGCGGGGAGCTCCGAGCGCATCTTTCCCTACTCGGGAAGGGAGGATCAATCGTCAGAGTGCCTGGTAACTAATCTTCAGTGCCTATTAGGAGCTTTAAAAACACTGCACTTTAGGGGCGCCTGGGTGGCTCAGTCAGTTATCGGGCTCTTGATTTCTGCTTAGGTCATGATCTGAGGGATGGTGAGATTGAGCTGACACCGTGGAGCTTGCTTGGGATTCTGTGTGTGTGTCTCTCTCCCCCTCCCCTGCTCACGCTCTGTCTCTGTCTCTCAGGAAGGGAGGGAGGGAGGGAGGGAGGAAGGGAGGAAGTGAGAGAAGGATGGACACTCGCCAAAAAAAACAAAACAAAACCAACTCAAATTGACTGAATGGGAACTTATTAGCTCCTGTGATTAAAGAATAAAGAAGAGGGGCGCCTGGGTGGCTCAGGCGGTTAAGCGACTGCCTTTGGCTCAGGTCATGATCTCACGGTTCCTGGGTTCAGGCCCCACGTTGGGCTCTGTGCTGACTGCCAGCTCAGGGCCTGGAGCCTGTTTCAGATTCTGTGTCTCCCTCTCTCTCTGACCGTCCCCTGCTCACGCTGTCTCTCTCTGTCTCTCAGAAATAAATAAAACTTTTTTTTTTTTAATTTTAAAGAGAAAAGAAAAAAGAAGAGGCGGCATTAGGCACAGCTGGATCCAGGGCTTCGCGTGCTGCTATGTGCTCGTCTCTTCCCGGCAAGATGCCCGCCGGCCGGCAGCTCCCAGACCTTCCCCTTAACCACCAGCGAATGAGGAGGCCTCTCCGCGAGAATTGACAGCGTCCAGATCTGAGTCTTGGGCTCTGACTGGGTCACATGCTCCCTGCGGACCCAATCACTGTGGCCAGAGGGATGAAGACGCTGATTGGTCAGGCCTCAGTCACATGTCCCCCCTGGAGCTGGGGGACAAGGCCTCCCGTGCCTGTGTCACGCTGGGAGGCAGGAGGGGCTCCCTGGGATTTGGATTCTGTCATGGTTTTGGGTATTTTTTGGCCAAAAGAAGGGTGTATATTGGGTGACAGACTGCAAAGCCCATGCCTTACTCACAGTGTCACATGAAAAAGTGAGATGCCAAACAGATGACCCGCTCTGGGAGAATGGCTTAGATTGTGGCTTATTCATGAGATGGAATATTAGGCAGCCATTAACACACGTTCGAATTAAATTTGTGGTGTGAATTTAATGATAGTATTTATGCTAAAATGCTTTGAACAAATAGGTTACAATGTACGTAAGCAGTACGCTTTCAACCATGTAAAATATTTATGCTTTGAAAACTGCTGAAAGAAAACATACAGAAATGTTCATAGTAATTATGTCATAGCGATATGTGTGAATTTCATTCTGTATATTTTCTTATTTCTTTCCTTCTCTCTCTCTTTTCTTTTTAATTTCAAAGTGTTCATTATATGCATGCCTAAGAAGCAAACATTAACTTTTAAAATCCGAGCTGCAAGATGACTTCCACTTGGCCGCCGAGTGGCTGAGCTGTAGCCAGGTGGGGATGACAGTGGGGGGTAAGTAGAGACAGGGGTGGGGGTGGCACGGGGTAAAGAGGAGGGAGGCAGCTCTGCCAAGTCCACAGTTTTAAACCTTGAAGGAAGCGGCTCGCAGGTTTTGGCCCAGTTGGAAACGATCTGTGGGAGGTGGGCTTGGGGTTGGAGGTAGCTCTTCTTCCCTTACCAGGCGGACAGAGGAGCCTCGGTTCTTAAGACCTTTGTCCATTCATTTGTCCATTCCTTTACTGCCCGTTAATTCAGTAGCTGAGTGCGTGTGAGTGCCAGGAGGTGCGGCAGGCTACCAAGCATGTCCTTGTCCCCCTGAAGCTCGCAGCCCTGCGTGAGGACATGCATGCACGCAGATGGCTTACCGCTGCCTTACCATGTACCGGGGGCCTGGCTGACACGTGGTCACTGGCAGAAGGGCTTTTGAGAGGAAGCCAGCGCATGGTGAGGACACAGCAGCTCGTGCGGAGGGAGGGACGGTGGGGCACCTGCCCGTGAGCAGAGCTCCGGCTGGGATCACGCCTGGCATGAGAGGCAATGAGCCTGGGTGCCCTGGCTCTGAGCGAGGGGCTGCGGTTACCAGGCCCAAGACGGGAAGTGAGCGCCGGGCAGGGGGCCAGACAGTGCAGGGTGGGATGCTGGGGAGCCCAGGCAAAGCAGAGGGGGCGCAGGGACCCAAGGAGGCGGCTGGCCCCTGCTCAGAGCAGGTGAGGCAGAGCGCAGCCGGGTTAGAGGAGAATGGCCTCGCGCTCAGGGCAAGGCCACATCAGGGTAAGGCAGCAGAGGCGCGTGAGCTCTGGCCTGCGCCAGCTCCAGTGTCTTCATCTGGAAAAGAGCGGGGGTCCTCCTTGGGAGGACATGAGTGCTGGTGAGCTGACGCGCCTGCGCTGGAGGCAGGTAGACAGTCCACACACGGTTCTCAGGGGGCAGGCGGGAAGCGCGAGTGTGACCAATTCCCAGCCGCCCTTGGAGTCATACCAGGAGGAGGTCCGTGTGGCAGGTGTTATTTTCTAAAGAGAGCCACGACAGTCTCCCATCCTGTGTGCTCTTGTAATACGACCTTGCCACTCTGCGTGCCTTCTGGAGGTAGGTCAGGAAGCTTCTGCCAGCTCCCCCTGGTCCCTCTTCCTCCCTGCCTGGGGGAGCTCACTCTTGAAACGGGGCCACCATGCTTCAAGGAAGCTCCCGGTCGATGGAGCGGCCACATGTGGCTGTGTGGCCTGACGATCCCTGCCGAGGTCCAGCCAGCCTAAGGTGCCACACACGAGGAGGCCCCGGAGATGACTCCAGCGCGTTGCCATCTGAGGGCAATTACTCACCAGGCCCTGAGAACTCCCCGGCTGAGCCCAGTTGAGTCAAGGACTAGGTGACACAAATGCTTGCTCTTATTGTTGTTTTAAATAGACTTTAGGGGCGCCTGGGTGGCTCAGTTGGTTAAGTGTCAGACTTTGGCTCAGGTCATGATCTTGCAGTTCGTGAGTTCGAGCCCTGCGTTGGGCTCTGTGCTGACAGCTCAGAGCCTGGAGCCTGCTTCGGATTCTGTGTCTCCCTCTCTCTCTGCCCCTCCCCTGCTCGCACTCTGTCTCTCTCTCAAAAATAAACATTAAAAAAAAGTTTAAATAAATAAATAGACTTTAGTTCTTAGATCAATGTTAGGTTCATAGCAAAATCGAGAAGGTACATTTCCCATATACCTCCTGCCCCCACATATATTCGGCCTTCCCCACTATCAAAATCCTGGAGCAGAGTGGTGCATTTGTTACAGTACAGTGTGAATAACACCGATGAACCTATATTGGCACATAATTATCATCCAAAATCCATAGTTTACATTAGGGCGCACTTTTTTTTATGCTTATTTTTGAGATGGTGTGCAAGCGGGGGAGGGGCAGAGAGAGAAGGGGACAGAGGATCTAAAGTGGGCCTGCTGCTGTCAGCACAGAGGGGGCTTGAACCCATGAACCATGAGATCATGACCTGATCCGAAGTCAGATGATCAACTGACTGAGCCACCCAGGTGCCCCTAGGGCTCATGCTTGATGTTGTACATTCATTCTGTGAGTTTGGACAAATATGTAATGGCATGTATCTGCCATTATAGTATCATACAGAGTAGTGTCACTGTCCTAAAATTCACCTTTGCTCTGCCTACTCAGCCTTCCTTCCATCCTCCAAACCCCTAACCACCACCAGTCCTTTTACTGTCTCCATAATTCTGCCATTTTCCAGAACTTCATGTACTTGGAGTCATACACTATGTAGCCTTTCAGATTGGCTTCTTTCACTTGATATGTTTCCTTCTTTTTTACCTTCTTTCACTTGATAAGTTTCCTCCATTAAGTTTCCTCCATGTCTTTTCATGACTTGATAGCTCATTTCTTTGTAGTGCTCAATAATATTCCATTGTCTGGATGTTGATTTATTCATTCACCTTCTAAAGGACATCTTGGTTGATTCTAAGTTTTAGTAATTCTGAATAAAGTTGCTATGAACATCTGTGTGTGTTTTGTGTGGACAAGAGTTTTCATCTCCTTTGGGTAAATACCAAGGAGCATGGTTGCTGGGTCTTATGGTAAGCTTATGTTTAGTTTGGTAGGAAACTGCCAAACTGCCTTCCAAAGTGGCTGTGCCATTTTGCATTCCCACAAGCATTCTTCTAAATGTGTAGTGGTATCTCATTGTTTTAATTTGCATTCCCCCGATAACATAGGATGTAGGGCATCTGTTTTTTTCTCCCAGCGTTACTGAGATATAACTGACATATAACACTGTGTAAGTTTGAGGTGTATAACATGATGATTTGATACATGTATTATATTGTGAAATGTTTACCATAATAAGATTAGTTGACGCATCCATCATCTCCCGCTGTTACCTTTGTGTGTGTGTGTGTGTGTGTGTGGTGAGCACATTTAAGATCCATTCTCTTAGCAACTTTCAATACACTATTGTTAATTATAGTCACCATGCTATACATATATCTTCACATTTTACTCATAAGTAGAAGTTTGTACCCTTTGACCAATAGTTACCATTTCCTTCAACTGTCAGACCCTGGGAGCCACCAGTCTCCTCTCTCTTCCTGAATTTGGCATTTTTACAGTTCATATTATACGTGAGATTGTACAGACTTTGTTTTTGTCTGATTGATTTCTTAGCATAACACCCTCAAGTTTCATCCATATTGTTGCCAATTGCACATTTTCCCTTCTGTTTTATGGCTGAGTAGTATCCATTATCTATATGGAATATTCCAATATATATGGAATGTTACATCATCTATATTATATATATCACATTTTATCTGGTCATTCGCCAGTGGACATCGGTTGGCTATTGGCTGGTATGAATAACAGTGCAATGAAAATAGGGGTGCAGATGCCTCTTGGAGATGAGTGATTTCATTTCCTTCAGATATATACCCAAAGTGGGACTGCTGCATCCCGTGGTTGTTTTATTTTTAATGTTTTAAGGAACATCCATACTGTTTTCCATAGTGGCTGCACCAATTTACATTCCCCCCAGCAGTGCACAAGGGACCTCTCTTCTCCACATCCTGTCAACATTTGTTATTTCTTACTTTTTTGATAATAGCCATTCTAACATGATGTATGAGGTGACATCTCATTGTGGTTTTTTAAAGATTTATTTTCAAGAGTGTGTGTGCAGATGGGGGAGGGGCAGAGAGAGGGAGGGAGACTGAGAATCCCAAGCAGGCTCCGTGCAGTCAACACAGAGCCTGATGAGGGGCTCAAATTCACAGACCGTGAGATCATGACCAGAGCTGAAATCAAGAGTCAGATGCTTAACTGCTTAACCGACTGAGCCACCCAGGGGCCCCTCAGGGCCCCTCACAGCTTTTGCTGTGCAGAAGCTTTGCAGTGTGATGTAGTCCCGCTTGTTTATTTTTGCTTTTGTCTCTGTGCTCTTGATGTCATGTCCAAAGAACTTGTTGCCAAGACCAATGCCAAGGAATTTTGCCCCTACATTTTCTTCTAGGGGTTTGATGGCTTCAGGTCTTATATTTAAGTCTTTCATGCATCTTGAGTTATTTTTTGTGAGTAGTCCAGTTTCATTCTTTTGCATGTGAATATTCAGTTTTCCCAACACCATTTATTAAAGAGGCTATTCTTTCCTTATTCAATATTCTTGGCCCCTTTGTCAAATATTAGTTGACCATATACATATGTGTTTATTTGGGGGCTCTTTATCCTGTTCCATTGGTCTATATGTCAGTAGTTATGACAGTACAATATTGTTTTGATGACACAGCTTTGCGATATAGTCCCAAATCAGGAAGCGTGATAGAGCATTTTTCATGTATTTATTTCCTGTGTGCTTCTTTGGTGAGAGGTCTGGTAACGTCTCTGGCCCCCTTGTTAATTGGGTTGTTCATTTCCTTGTTGACTTTTAAGGGTTCTTTGCAAACTTTTGTTAACAGTCATTATCAAATGTGTCTTTTGCAAAGATTTTCTCCTAGTCTTTGCCTTTTCTCATTCTCTTGACATCATCCTTCACAGACCAGAGTTTTTAATTTTAATGAAATCAGCTTATAAATTATTTCTCTCATGGATTGTACCTTATGTATTTGCTTATTTAAGTTTATTTATTACGAGAGAGAGCAAGCACGAATGGGGTAGGGGGA